CTAAGTCATTGTGCATATGTAAGCTTCTATTTGTGACCTATAAACTTGGACAGCAAACAAACCATAATTTGTTTTGTCCATAAGAAAGTCTATTAATAAAGTATCTCGCGAGGTCGTGTGAATAGTGGTCACGTTAATTTAGCTACTTTAATTCATTAGCAATGAATGTTACGTGGGTAGTGGTTGGTAAGGGTAATCAAAAGTTATCGGGCATAGTAAATCTCATTAAGGAATGAACATACATAGTGATTCCATGTATTCATGTTCATGTACATATTAGTTTTCTCCCTAGCTAATGAGTAGTGATTTAAGTTGATTAGTAATTAACCATTTCTTGGAAAATCACTGACCAACCCCAAAAATTGCAATATCTATAATATTGTTCGTAGCTAGAGGTGGAAGTGTGGTATGAGTATTTGGGATACACAAAATTCATCATTATTTGGTATTATCGATTACCGACTTAACTTTTTGGGTTTGTGATTAAGATTGATTTTAGTAGTATTTGATATTCGAGAGATGCGATTGGAATTGATATATATCAAGATATTGAGCAATACCAAAAATTTTAATATGATACAGTAGTGAAACTAAATTGAGATTTAAAGATTTATGAGTGATTTAATATTATTGAAGTATAAGTTTAGTTCATTGTACATAATATCCACTATTTATATACACAAATAGAAAGTTTCCAATATTTTATTTTCAATTCGAACCACCTTATTATTGTTTGTAATATAGCATTATTTAATTTAATAATTGATATATGCTAACCATATCAAAACATTTGGATTGAGATTGATGTTGGTCGTAAATTAGCATTTGAGAGATCAATAAATCGATTTCTGCTAGTTATAGCAAACTCTATACGCAAATTAATGTGTAGGGACATATAAAACTTGCAACTAAGTAACTTAAAATTAGTCATGAATCTTGAAATTGAGAATTTCGTAAACAACTATAAAACATATGCACACTAATTAATACAACCCTTTATGAATTGAGAAAGAAGAAAGGTGCCTAAATCTACAACATAAAAATTGCGAGAGAAGAAAAAAGTGTTTAATATACGTTCTAGCGAAAGGAAAAACTTGCCTAATCGACAGTTGAAAATGTGGGTTAAGGGGAAAAAACATACGTAGGAGTAGGCAAAAAACCCTTTAAGATAAGTCATAGCGAAGAGGGAAACTAATCTAGTCGACAGATAGAAAAACTTGAACTGAGGAAAATAAATTTTAAGGTAAGTTTTAACAAGTCCTACGCTCTCACACCCTACCAAACTCTTTAAATTCATTGTATATAATTGTCTACTATTTATATGCACAAATAAAAACTTTTCCAATATTTAATGTTCATTTTGAACCACCTTATTATTGTTTGTATATTATTTTTGTTATTTATGACATTAATTAATGTAGTATTTGGTATATACTGATATCATATCAAAATATTTTAGATTGAGATTGATTTTGGTCGTTATTTAGTATTTTAGATGTCAATATATCAATTTCTCAAAATCGTAACAAAATCATACACTAAGTAATAAGAGAGTTGGGGTGGCCTAGAGAATTTCAGGTATGCATATCGAATGGGGTCGGGGCGGATAGTCTGATATCCAACCTCGACCCATCCCCGCTACTGTGCATATTCCAGTTTTCCCCGAATCCTGCCCGTATCCGATATTAACGGGTTTTAAAGCGGACTTGACTGGGCGGGTGCGGATTATACCCACTATTATTTTACACACTGCCATCCCTAGATCCCGTGGGAGGTGCTTGGGTTTCTTTTTGCCCTGATTGTTGGATGTCTGGTGTTGTGCTTGTTGATTCTTTCCCACGCCGTTGCTGTCGTGTCTAGCCCTAGAGCCTAAATTTTTTATTCGGCTACCCGCTCAGGTGAGACAGTGAGAGTATCTTTGAAAGGGGCTGAGAGGGACAGAGTGACTTTGATTAATAAGCTTAACTCTGTTGGTGCTAGCCGTCAGTGACACGATCCTTGTCGGTTGGTTTGGTCTCCAAACCCCGATGATTCTTTCTATCTTTGTTATGTGAATAGGTTGCTTGTTGAAGGCATGTTTCCCGGTTATCTAGATTTCTTAGTTGCATAATTAGTTGCATCTGTGTGTAATGATGTTATTCCCTCCAAGGTGTGTGGCTTTTTATGGCTATACTTCTACAAGAAATTATTACGCTAAAAATATGAATGCTTGCCAATCGATGCAGACTCATCCACTGCAAAGAAGAGAGGGTCACTGGTCAGTCATCTTCTTGTCGATTTCTTAGTTGCTCGTGATGTATGGAGTTGAATCAAGGTGTACAACACTCTGAAGCCTCACACAGATGATATCAGCTCAGTCATTCATTGTATTTGTTGGCCTTCATATCAGTCAGATAGTGTCAATGGTCGGTTTCATATATGTGTCCTCTATGTTGTCTGTTGGCAAGTGAGGTAGGAGAGAAATCGATGTTTCTTCCAGCAAATTCATCTTCCTACAACAATCGTGGCTCGTAAAATCATTAGGCATATCATCGAATGGGTTGTGGCACGTCACACGTGGTAAGGTTGTTAAGGGTCAAGGAATTAGTCAGAGTAAATAAAATCTGAACCCAAACATCATGGGTAATGAGTGAGGATTAGAGGTGGCAATTTGAATCCAATTCATCTACTAAAAAATTCAATTAATCCAATCCGTTTAATCAAAATTAAATTGCATTTATGGATTCATGAATTTGTGACAAATTATAGTTAGCACCTGTATTTTTATACTTTACAATTTGATACCTAAATTTTAACTTTTTATGAAAATATCATTGAAAAATTATGTTGGTACCTACAATTTTTTATAATAATAATTTTTTTCTTTTCGTTCAATATGATAACATTTTAATATTTAAAATTTTCACAATTTTTAGTAATGTTCCCATATTTTTATGCAACTTGGATCCAAAAGTCCACTAATCCAATCGATTTGATATGGATACACCAAGCCATTAACCACCTCCAGTGACATGATTATTCAACTATCCAACTTAAATCCACTCAATTATACAATGCATATATAATAATTGTATGATTGTTATTTAGGTACTGCTTAAGGGATTCGAACTTGAGATCTTCGGTTTCAAAGTTAGTGGTGTTACCACTAGACCAAGCCTTTGTTCGTTTTTTTCCACCTTATTCGTATTACTCATATATTTTTAGCATCTCACGATCCTTTTCATTGTTTCTCCTAGTATTAGTGATTTGTAATTTATATTTTTGTTCACTTTTCTAGTGTTAAAAATTTTTTGTGAGAATTTATAGTGTTAATATACTTGTGAATTGTGATATACTAACACAAAAGTTGAGAATATAAAGAAAAGGCAAAATACACTTCAATAGTCACAACTTTCACATTTGGGTCACTTCCGTTCATCCCCTTAACAGTGCCACTCAACAGTATGACTGAACTGACGGAATCGCTGAGTTGGCGATCCACGTGGATTAACAAAGAAAAAGAAAAATACACTTCCATAGCCACAACTTTCACGTTTGTGACAGTTATAGCCACAACTTTTGAAATACACAAAATATCCACTTTCGTCCATTCTTTTAACGGTGTCACTTAACAGTATGACTGAAGAATGATGCCTTATTTCCCAAATTGCCGATTCAGATTCTCAATCGCTAGATTGAAGGAGAAGGCCTCGAACACTTGGCAGAGTACAGAAAAACGACGAGAAAGAAGCAAGAAAACTGTTGGGAAGAAGATGATGACGATCGTGAAGAAGAGGGCATCGACGGCGGCGGTGAAAGAGGATACAGTTTCTTCGGTGAAAATAAAGAACGATGTGTCGGGAAGGAAGGACGTGACGGCTCGTAGTGCATTTTCCCCTTCAATTCCTAGAAACCGTTGTGCGTGCAGTTGTTCTTGTTTTCGCTGAAGCTCAATTCATCGCTATCAATTGGCCCGATTCGTTGCATTCTCTCTCAAACAGAGCCCGAAGAAGATATCGAGAACATGGTCGCGACTATTTCGTGTATTTCGAAAGTTTGTAACGAGAATGACGAGATTTGTAAAAAAAACATCAAAATTTTGGGTATTTCTTGTATTTCAAAAGTTGTGGTTATAACTGTCACAAACGTGAAAGTTGTGGCTATAACTGTAGCAAACGTGAAAGTTGTAACTATGGAAGTGTATTTTGCCTAAAATATTTTTTAACTTGATTATGACGTGGCAAGTGAGGCTGAGTTGTCGCTAACGTGTGCGCCAATTTGACATCCTAGTCAGTGTGCCGTTAACTTAACTAACGAATCTCTAACACCGTTAAAGTTTGTAACGAAAATGGCTAGATTTGTCAAACAACTATCAAAATTCTGGCTATTTCGTGTATTTCGAAAGTTGTGACTATATCTGTCATAAACGTGAAAGTTGTGACTATGGAAGTGTATTTTGCCTAAAGAAAAAGGCTCAAACTGTACTTAAACTTTCTACTTTGGCCCGTGGTTTTTGAAATTGCTCCCCTGGCCCCAACTATGCACCATTCTTTCTTGCTAGGCCCGCCGCGAGTTTTGACCGTCAAATTGGACGATCAACTCCATTGACCATTAGTCAAACACCATGTCACTTGCCACTTCACCAAACTCGGAATAAAAAATTTGAACTTTGAATTTCTGTAATTATTTTTGTCATAAAAAAAATTTGAATTATTTTTCTCCGTTAATTATTATTGCTATTAGAAAACAAAGTGAATTAAATAAATACAAATTCCAAACCTTTTATTTCGGGGTCGCTGACGAGGTAAGTGACTTGGCGCTTGACTAACAGTCAATGGAGTTGACTGTCAAATTTGACGGTCAAAACTCGCGTCAGGCCAAGCAAAAAAGTACGGTGCATAGTTCGGGCCAATGGAGCAATTTCAAAAGCCACGAACCAAAATAGAAAGTTAGGGTATAGTTCAGGTCAAAATAAAGTATTAACCCAATGAAAAATTACTACTCTAAACAATACCCAAAATTCATTATCTATGAATACCCAAAATTCATAAGGTAGGAATATAGTTCTAATTTAGTACCCCGAATCTTTTATAAGTATATGAATATGAATGCCTTCCCTAAACAACAACCCTCTCCAATCGTGTATCTTTTGAAGGCAAGGTTGGAGGCCTTTGGATAACCAGTTCCTTCATGAGCTAGCCATCCAGTAGGGATGGCAACGGGCGGGTTTGTCTAAACCATCCCCATCCCCATCTTCAAATATTCAAACCCATACCCGCCCCATATTCATGCGGGGAATGTTTGGCAAACCCATCCCCATACCCGTGGGTTTCGGGTACCCATGGGTAATACTCGTACCCGTACATCCAACATTATTATCCTAAAATTTACAAGAAAAGTTTTAACTACAACTCTAAACGTACCTATTATATCACGAATTCAACAAAACACGATCATTTTCTTAATACGGTTCAAAGAATATGATCCTCAAACATTCATTAATACATAATATAGAGTATAATATTTTTCAAATTATTATGTTCTAACTCTTATACATCTACTAAATAATAATTAACTAACATAATCTTGTTGACAAGGTGGAAAGTGAAAGAGTGAAAGGAGAATTGAGGGAAATGAATTAGGTTTTGATTAAGGTGGTCACTCAATTACATTTCTACTATTTATTTATTTGAGTTATTCTCATCACCATTGATAGATTACAATTTGATCCGCATGTTTTTGTATATGTGAAAAAATTCTCTTGGTGGGGCGGATATGGGTATGGGTATGGGGCGGGGGAGGCTAAAACCATACCCGCCCCATACTCATCAAACTTTTTGCGGGTTTTATTCATACCCGTCTCATACCCGGTCAAAGCAGGAATTCCCCGCGTTGACTGGGTCGGGACGGTCGGATACCCGCGACCATGGGTTTGATTGTCATCCCTACCATCCAGTGAAAATTGATACCTACTTCTCTTCTCCATTTCACTGCATATCAGCTGTACAACATCTCTGATTCTATTACTCAAAGCTGATACAAAGCTAAAATAAATTAATATCAGCACGTGGGATAAACCTTTCATTATAAATCTGTCTGTATGTAGTTGTAGTATGCGCGACTTCCACTGCCAGTGCTGCAATAGCTGTTTCTTTGGAGGTAGCCGCCATTCACACATGGTCAGCCGTTCACACATAATCCAGAGTGCAGCACTACTTCAAAATATTGTTATGGTTCATGATGAGTGGGCAGTGCTCTTCCACTGAATGCCTGAATTGGGTCATAGTCAGCACACACCAGCACCCAAACAGGGACCAACCCCAAATATATAACATCAGTAACTTAAGTCTTAGTGAGCCAAAGTAAACCAAAGGAAACAAAGATGGAGAACTTCAGAACCCATCTCCAGTTTCTGCTTTACTTCCTCCTCTTTCTTCATTCTCTTCCCTTTTCATATGCCAAATGCACTGATACAGAGAGAGAAGCATTACTTGCCTTCAAGACCGGCCTTACAGACCCTTCAGGCAGGCTTTCTTCTTGGCGAGGCGACGACTGCTGCAAATGGGCTGGCGTCAAATGCAGCAGCAACCAAACCGTCACCCACCTCGACCTCAAGAATCCTTACCCTCAAGCAAATGGCGGAATCATTGACCAAACAGCTTACAAAGCTTCCTGTTTGGCCGGCAACATCAGTTCCTCTCTACTTCGCCTGCCATCTCTGAGCTACTTGGACATGAGTCTCAATGATTTCCAAGGCAATGAAATTCCTGCCTTCCTCGGTCAGCTCAATGATCTGACGTACCTCAATCTCTCCTTCTCCTCTTTTGGTGGAGAAATTCCACCCCAGCTTGGAAACCTGTCGAAGTTACAAGTCCTGGACCTCTACGCGGATTCCTATGGTGGAACTGCGGCAGCAGAACTGAGAGCAGATGATCTGAATTGGCTCACCCGACTCGCTTCCCTCAACCGCTTGAACATGGGATTCGTGAGAATCAACACGAGCAATGGTGGAGATTGGCTTCATGCTGTGAGTATGCTGCCATCTTTGGTGGAGCTGAAGCTCCAGTACTGCCAGCTTCAAGTCCTTCCGCAATCACTGCCCCTTGGTACCAACTTCCCCTCGCTCTCGGTCCTTGATTTGTCAGACAACTCTTTCAATGCTCCAATCCCCCAGTGGCTGTTCAACCTCACCGGTCTCAGGGAACTATATCTCAGATGGAACTTCCTCCATGGTCCTGTACCCAGTGAGTTTGCAAGGCTCAAATCTCTTGAAATACTTGATTTGTCCAACAATTTGGATTTCGGAGGCCAGATTCCTGGGCTCTTTGGAAGTCTGCGAAAGCTGAAGGTGTTAGACCTTTCAGCTAATGATATGAATGGTGGAATCCAGGAGTTCATCAGTGGATTTGCAGGAAGTCCAAGTAGCAGCTTGATATTTTTGGATTTGAGTTCCAACTCATTGGAAGGCCAACTGCCTGACCTGTTAGGAGTTGTGCTTCATAATTTGCAGCATCTCGACCTTTCTAGCAATAGATTCTGGGGTTCAATCCCGAATTCTGTTGGAGAAAAGATGTCCTCTTTGAAGCACTTGGATATTTCTTACAACAACATGAACGGGAGCATCCCAGATAGCTTTGGGCAGCTTTCAGCGCTGATTGATGTGAACCTGGTGGAGAATTCTTGGGTAGGGGTTCTGAAAGAAACTCACATGGTGAACCTCAGAAGCCTGGAGAATTTCAAACTGACCACGGATTCGAGCAATCATTCGTTGATTTTCAATGTCCCGGTGAAGTGGGTTCCTCCATTCAAGCTTAAGTCCATCCAACTTGAAAACTGCATCGTCGGTCCTTCTTTTCCTGCATGGCTTCAAGTCCAGAACCAACTTACTTCTGTGACCCTCAGAAATGTTGGGATTTCAGACACCATACCAGGAGAGTGGTTCTCAAACTTACCTTCTGAGCTCACTTTTTTGGTCCTCTCAAGCAACCAAATCACAGGGAAGTTGCCAAGTCAGCAACTGAAGTTTCCAAGGCTAAGCACCATTGATCTCAGCTCCAACAAGTTTGAAGGTCCTCTCCCAATGTGGTCCACCAATGCAAGCATCCTTTACCTTCAAGACAACAAGTTCTCAGGTTCAATACCCGAAAACTTCGGTAAACTAATGCCAAGGCTTCAAAAGGTATACCTTTCACAGAACCAACTTGTTGGTAAGATCTCATCCTCCATGTGTGATATGCAGGAGCTTCAGATTCTGTCTCTCAGGAACAACCGCGTTTCAGGAGAAATCCCAGACTGTTGGTACCATTCATTCATGTTTTGGGCCATAGATGTATCAAACAACAGTCTTACTGGTAAAATCCCAGCTTCATTCGGTTCCTTGCGTTCTCTCAGCATACTGTTGTTGAGCAGCAATCGATTTGATGGAGAGATTCCTGCTTCCTTGCAAAACTGCACTGGATTAACCAGCATGGATCTTGGAAAGAACAGATTCTCTGGGGTTCTACCTTCTTGGATAGGGACAAAGTTCCAATCCCTTTTTATGCTGAATCTGCAGCTCAACTCCTTCAGTGGGCCAATATTCCCACAGTTCTGCAGTCTCCCAAACCTTCATATCTTGGACCTCTCTGGTAACAAGTTCTCAGGGACTGTACCCAAGTGCCTTCCAAACCTGACAGCCATGGTAGAAGGTAGAAGTGGGGAGGTCTTTGAACAGCTGTTGCTGGTGGCAATGAAGGGAAGGAAAATGGAGCTGGATGCAATTCTTGCAAACGGCAATGGCATTAACCTATCTGGAAACAATCTGACCGGCAATATTCCTGGTGAGATCACGAAGCTTAGTGCCTTGCGAATCCTGAACCTGTCGAGGAATCAACTAAGCGGAGAAATCACAAATGGCATTGGAGATCTGCAGCACTTGGAAGCGCTTGATGTGTCACACAACCATTTAATGGGTTCAATACCACCAAGTTTGGCTACTATAGCTTCGTTGCTTCACTTGAACTTATCGTACAACAGTCTGCAAGGAAGAATCCCCATAGGGCTCCAGAGGTTCAACGACCCTTCTGTGTTCATCGGCAATCCCTCACTCTGCGGACGCCCTCTTCCCCCCTGTCCAAGAAACAATGGTACCCTTATTACTACAATCAAATAGAGTACTAGATTCGCAGTATACTTGTAAACTTCGTACGACAAAGATTCACTAATAAAAGTGGCAGAGACTCATGGTACCTTAAACTTAAATCATCCAAGCTTAACTAAATTCAGCAATCAGCGCAGGAAGGGAAGAATTGGAGTAAAAAAACATCCACTTCAAGATAACTCATATTGTTATAATTCAGATGGCTTATGAGAAATGTGATCATTGAAAGGTTATCCACAATGTAATAATAGACACTCAGCCAACAGTATTGGTTTCCCATGTCCATGAAAAAAAAACTTAAATTTCAACAATTTGTCAGTAGTGTACAGCTAGCATTCTATTATTTATTTATTTATTTATTTTAGAATGTTAATAAGCTAGCGTTATATTTTTAATCATATCATTACACCTTCCCAACAGATCAATCTGGGATTCCTCAACTTCCCAACTATTTTTGATATTTCAGAGTACCCTTCAACTTAGATCTTCCAAGCTTAGCTTGATTCAGCAATCAGCACAGGGAGGAACGAAAGTCTAATCTAAGGCATAAGGCACACAAATCCAGGTCAAGATTAACCCATTCATTAGAAATTGGAAGGCTGTCTCATAAACTAATAATAGACACCGCCAACAGTGGATGGCTTCCCTTCCCGTGTCCATGACAAAACAAAACCCTTGATTTTCAACTTCTTCAGTAGCGTACAGCTGGCCTTTTATTTTTTAAACCATATCCTTACTCGTTCCATCCCCACCATCGGATCAATCAGGTTCTCCTCGAGTTCCCATTTTTGTATTACTCTCTTCTCTTGCAGTAAGTAATACACGCTGCTGCAATGTATGGCAGCCGACGCGTCTAAACAGAAAGCATAATTCTTTCACAGTTCACACTTCACACACCATTCCCACTACAACAACTTAATAAACTATATGCGTTATGGAAATTCAGCCATGTGCCTAGCAGGGTCCATACTCGATTAAGGAAGAAAGTACTATCAAAGAAAGAAACTTTACTGTTACCTCTCAGCACACTCTTCTGGTATGGATTGCAGAAAACCCTTCGACCTGCACCTACTGCTCCTTCTCCTTCTCTTTGCCTATTCCTCAAACGCCATCTTCAAATTCACTTCCTGCAATGGACAACAAGTAACAGTCGGAGGATGCTTAAGACAAGAGAGAACAGCGCTTTTAGCTTTCAAGCAGGGTCTCGTCGATCCTTCGGCCCGCCTGTCTTCTTGGGGTGGAAACAATTGCTGCAGTTGGCGAGGCATTGAGTGCGACAACAAGACTGGGAATGTAATGAGGCTTGATCTCCGCAACTCGTTCCCCATCAACCTCGAACCATACTCAATGACCACAGAGCAACTGGACGCCTACAAACTGTCATGCCTCGGAGGTCAGTTGAATTCCTCTTTGCTTCAACTGGATCACTTGACTCACCTGGACTTGAGCTTGAACGACTTCGAAGGACTCCAAATCCCGGAGTTCTTGGGCGAGTTCAAGCACCTGAGGTATCTCAACCTCTCGTATGCATCATTTGCTGGACTGGTCCCTCCCCATCTCGGCAATTTGTCAACCTTGCATTACCTGGACATCTACGCCGATTCATTCAGCGCAGGTGGCCGTCAGGGGATGGAGATAGAGAACCCATCTTGGCTCTCTGGTCTCTCCTCTTTGAAACACCTCAATCTCGGTTTTGTAACCATTCATAGCTCTGATGCGAAGTGGCTGCACGCTGTCAATATGATTCCTTCTCTGCTGGAGTTGTACTGCCATGGCTGTGAGCTTCAAGATATGGCAGTCACGTTGCCATTTGTCAATTTCAGTTCGCTTTCAGTCCTCGATCTGTCGCAGAATTTATTTAACTCTTCGTTTCCGGAGTGGCTGTCTACTCTTACTAGCTTAACTAGACTAGATCTCAGCACCAATTCTTTCAGTGGTTCCATCGCTGTTGACTTTGGGAAGTTTGAATCTCTGGAGGACCTCCATTTGTCATTGAACAACTTCAGCGGTCCTGTGCCAGTCACGTTGGGAAACCTCTGCTACTTGAGGAAGTTGGGACTTGCATCAGGCAGATTCAGTGGGGACATTTCGGGGTTGCTGAATTCCTTTACTGGGTGTCAGACTGTGAGCTTGGAAATGCTTAATCTGAACTCGAACGACTTAGTGGGAGAATTGCCCGATTCAATTGGACTTTTCAAGAATCTGAAACATCTGGACCTGGCTTACAACTCTCTCTGGGGTTCTATTCCAGCATCCATTGGCAACTTATCAGCATTGGAAGTTCTGTACCTACACTCGAACAAGATGAACGGCAGCATCCCTGAAAGTTTTGGCCGACTTTCTGAGCTAAGAGATTTGAATCTCATTGCAAATTCATGGCAAGGAGTCATAACAGAAGCTCACCTGATGAAGCTCACCAGATTGGAAAGCTTGATGCTTTCATCCAGCTCCCTGGTGTTCAAGGTGGATCCCCAGTGGATCCCTCCTTTCAGGCTCGACTATCTTCAACTCGAGGATTGTACTGTCGGCCCTCCATTTTCCACTTGGCTTCAAGTTCAGAATCGTCTGACGCAGGTGAAACTCCAAAATGTCGGCATTTCTGACACCATACCAAAGGAATGGTTTTCTGAGTTGTCAGCTGAAATCCTCGTCATGGACCTGTCAGAGAATCAGATCAGGGGCGAGCTTCCTGAAGAACTGGTTTCTCCCAAATTAGAAATGCTAGATCTTTCCTCCAATCGCTTTGAGGGATTTCTCCCACGCTGGTCTACCAATGCAACTCAGTTTTACATCCATGAGAACTCACTCTCAGGTCCAATACCTCGGGACATTGGCACGCTGATGCCAAGATTGCGAAACCTTCACCTCTCAGACAACACTCTAAACGGCACAATTCCACTATCCATATGCAAGATGGCAGACTTGCAAGTTCTTTCTCTCAGGAACAATTACCTTTCAGGAGAGCTACCTGACTGCTGGAGGGATTTGTCAACGTCGTCCTTGTGGGTCGTTGATGTTTCAAACAATAGCTTATCAGGTGAGATTCCTAGCTCGATGGGACTGCTGAGATCGCTTGGAATGCTGCTATTGAGCGAAAACAATCTGGTCGGAGAAATCCCATCTTCATTGCAGAACTGCTCGGCATTGACCAGCATCGACCTTGGAGAAAACCAGCTCTCAGGGGAAATACCTTCATGGTTGGCCGAAAATTTATCGGCCACTTTTGTGCTCCGTCTTCGATCTAACCAGTTCCACGGACAGATCCCAGAAGCACTCTGCAATCTCCCGCTGCTTCATTTCTTGGACTTGTCCCACAACAATCTTTCGGGTGGGATCCCCAAGTGCCTGGACAACTTGACCGCTATTGTCTACGGAAACAGCAGCGAGTTGTATTATCGGGACTTCCAGTTCCGTATGGCCTACTTCAAGGAGGAAACCAAGGTGGTGACCAAAGGGAGAGCATACGATTACAACCGGAATCTAGCTCTGTTGAATGTCATTGATTTCTCGGAGAACAACTTGAGTGGCCCAATCCCCGAAGAGATGACAAAGCTTCTATCTCTTAGGGTTCTGAACTTGTCGAGCAACCATATCAGTGGAGCCATTCCAGAGAAAATAGGAGACTTGAAAGTCCTGGAAACGTTAGACTTGTCTCATAACCAGCTCTCCGGGGAGATCCCAGCAACCTTGTCGTCCTTAACATTTTTGACGCATTTGATAGTCTCGTATAACAACTTTTCAGGGAAGATTCCAGCAGGAAGACAGCTCCAAACATTTGATGCATCTTCCTACCAGGGTAACCCCTTCCTCTGTGGATTTCCTTCCCGAGTTAAATGTCCAACAGAAAGTATAACAACAACAGCACCACCAACAACTGGAACAGAACCAGAGGACGAAGAAGACGAAATCTTTGAATTGGGTACTGGACTGTATGTTAGTATAGTACTAGGGTTCGGATTCGGGTTCTTGGGACTCTGTGTAACTCTACTGAGAAAAGAGTTCAGGAAAAAAGACATCGAATGGTGAACTTTTTTGGATAGCTTACTTGTGATATGTACCAATAAAAGGCTTAACATTTCAATAACATTTCCTCAAAGCAGAATGATACTGTCATAGCGTAGAGCATCAGAACAAAACACCGCCACAACGGTCTAATTCAAAGCCTATAGCTAACATGTCTCTGAATGATCACTCCAAACAGCAGAAACGAAAGGAAAGGCCAAAAATTTGGTTGCAGTGTCGCACAGATTAAGATCGTCTCTTCTTGAGCTTGAAGTTACCCTTGCCACCGCGGCGTTTGTTTCTGGCAAGCTTGAACTTCTTCTTCAGCTTCTTCCCCCATGGCTTTGCAGACTTCTTGCCGTTCTCGTCATCCATTTCAATATCTGCCCACAGAACCACCAAAACCCAATTCAATTCCACATTCAAGCACGGTAAATTGACGAAACAACAAACACACCCAAAACATCAAAAAGGAGATCGATAGCATACCACCAGCAGCGTTGGTGGTCTGAAGCATGCCATCATCAGCGTTGGCAGTCGGGGTTGAATCAACGATGTTAACAGTGGAAGTGTCCATTGAGGAAGATTCGAACGGCGAGGGCTTGACGGGGAGCTTTGGAGCGGCGAGCGCTGCTTGAATGGCTGCAAGCTTGGCTTCGTCTATCTTGTCGTAGAGGGGTTGAATCATGTCCCTTCTAATGGCTCTCAGCCTCTTCTCCCGCTTCGACCTAATGGATTTCCCCATCTCTGACTGCTTTCTGCTTCCTCTGCGGTTGGGTCTGGATTTCCTTTTGGGAGAGCTTTTCTCTTTGTCTGGGCGGCAGCAAACTGAAGAAGGAAAGGCGGTCTGGGCGTTTAGGGTTTATCATGATGCATTCAGCATTGTATTACTATTATTCAATCGAAGTCGGTGACTAGATTTGGGCCTTGGGGGTGTTTGGTTGTTTGGATACGCGAGTTCGGAAAGCGGATATTAACTACAATAAACGGTAAGAAATGGGCCACTGGTCCAACAGCCCAACACAGCTCGGCCCATTACCATAACAATCCATCAAAATTATTTTTGACAACAATATTACGACGAATTAAACTCGTTGCTAAAGGATCATTGGTCATATTTCATCCGTCTACAAAGATAATCACAAAGACACAAACAAACCAGGCCAAATAACACGAAACCAAATGGATGGGGTGATTGGATGAAGCCTCCATAGCTCCATCTGTCGTCTTCCACGATAATGCAGAGCTCCCGCCATTCCTTGCTCTAGCAGTAGAAGCACCTTTACCAGAGGATTAAGCCTTCCCGATGAACTCCACATCAAACAGAAGAACCGAATTGGGAGGGATTACACATGAACCTGTCAACCCCAGTTAAGCAACATAAGACCATCTCCCTTAGTCAAAGCCAAAGCTTCAAGATTGAAGGAACAGTATGCAGCAACCATTGAGAGACTGAAGTTGAGGGCTTTGATTATCACTTACCTCCTCTGCAGCCAGCCCCTCTAACGCCATACCCAAGTTCTGGTGGAAGTTTCAATATGCGTTTTCCCCCTGAAAATTGAAGATGAAGACACAATTTCAGGCTTCATAGTTCATACTGTCTGTTCAGTTAGGATCAATGGCAGTTGAGTTTAAGCTCCGAATTAGTTCAGAATCATCCAGACTGAATCGGTATATTACCAGCTTGCATAGGAGGTACTCCATCACCCCCAAGAATTCCTTGGTCCCAGCCTTGGATCACCTATTACACCAGTAAATTACAGAGCTCTCAATTCAACTACATTTAAGTCATCTAACATCTCAAACCCATATTTCCATAAGTCTGCATCTCGATTGAAACCCATATCTTTAAAGCACAGAGACCACTTGCTCTTACCTCACCAACTCCGACGCGGAAACTGAGGGGCTTGCCGCGATTGTAGCTGCTGTCGAAGACCTGCCCATTTTCCAATTTCCCAACGTAATGCGCCTGTATGACCCACGAACTCGAAATCTCGTTACCAATTTCCAATACCCACCACGCCAATCAAGTGGATTGATCGAATTTCGTTCAATTGGGGTTCTTATCAGATTACCTTAATCAATTGCCCCTTCACCGCCTCCGGGCCAGTCCCGACGACCTTGTCACAGAAGGCGAGGCCCGACGGTGCCGAAGTGAATTGACATGAAGCTGTCTCTGCCGCTTCTGCTGTGGGCCGCCCTTGAAACACAGCGCCGATGAGCGCCGCGAATCCGACGCCTATCGCTTCCCTCCGGCGGACCAAAATCTGATCCTGATTAAGCTGCAGTTGTTGGGACTGGGAGGAGCCTTCTACTTGGTGACGAGTTGGGAACTTGGCAGTTGGTGCTTCGGTTGTTCGAGCATTCTTCACGGCTGTCGTTGTGCTGAGCTTAGTTTTCCCGGGAGTGTGGTAGCGCCCAACTGAAAACGCTAACGAATTCATTGCATTTGCAGCCAAGTAGAGAGCTTTCAGGAGAAGATAATCATCAAAAGATTTTTTTTATTCAACCATTTTAATGGCGGAACTGCACTTGAATGAATGGCGGAATCAGCATTTTTTATGGGCTAGGCTTCGAAATCTAAGGCCCAATTGTTTACACAACTTAGCCTCCACTAGTTATCCTCGGCGAAATTTGAATAGGGATGAGAAAAGATGAGATTTGAATAGGTAAGTTCGAATATGAATGATTTTTAATGAGTGTGTATAACACTCTGAACTCGAATACTACGAGTAATGAGTGGATATGATTTTCTTTTATGTAATGTTCAACATAAATGTAGTTTGCAAACATGTTGGTTGAAGTTATACAGAAAAAATTATTAGTATTAGTAAGACTAGAACTGTTTTGGTACACAATACGTTGATATACCTAGTTTGAAGTTGTGATTAAATCTTTTATATTCTTAAAACAAATTCAGAATGTCGTGGGTGGACCATTTGTATGGATGGGTTGTTGGCCGTAAATCTCCTAGTGTAGATGGATTTTAACTTGGGTGTGGGTTTTATCCACTTTTGAATTTGGCGAGTTGATTCGAATTTGGATTTTGTCAAACTCAAACTGCTTTCCTTTCAACCCACACATAAAGCAAAACGTCATCATTTTGTCACAATCCCTCACCTTCCCGGATTTTCCACAATCCTATACTTGGGAAGGCTAAAAAATGAGAGATTTTAGCCATGCAGAATTTCAAAAAGCTGCATGTATAGGATTTTGAAATAGCTTAACCACCCAGCTATTCTAAAATCCCCAACTAATTGTTTTCTTCCAACCATTACCACTCCGCATCACCATCACTGGCCAAATAAAATTTTCAACTACTAAAAATTTTCAAAAAATAATTATAACAAAGTGACAACAATTACCAATTTGCTGCAATATATAACTAAGTGATAGAGTAATGGAAAATTGATACTCCAAAGAAGTGAAATCCACAATGTGAAGAGCCTTGGTTCCCATTATGTTTTTGGTGTCTCTCTTTTAATCTAAAGTTGCCCAATGGACAGTTGGCATAAGTAATACAAAACTTTGCACTTACTAATCAAATCCATTGACAACAAAGTTGGAGGTGGTTAAATTGCTAAAATATCATCCTAATTTGCATGTAATTTATTTATTAATTTTGTCAATCTAACTTAATTATAATTAAAGAATTATTTTACGGATTAACCCGCAAGGCCACAACCCTCCGTCCATTCATCCTTATCCACACAAGAAAATTATATGAGCGAATGACCATCACTATTATATCAACTCATTAATAAGTCGATGTGCCGAAACTCACAGCCACACCCATATTCACCACCTTAGCCAAAACAACTGGAGGAGAACATCTGGGCCGCCCCTTTAAGTTTGGTACCAGCTATAGCTAGGTTCCATTACCACAGGCTGTTGGGATAGAATATAATCCAAGTCGTTCATGATTTCATGCTTCCAAAGAAGACCGAGGTTTTAAGTTACGATGAATCTTAATCATTAATGTGCGATCCCTCAAATCTGGAGTGGTTTGGAGTTGAAGATCGAGCATCTAATTCATATTAGGTTTGTGATCTCTATTTTCTAGTATTGTCAGATCAAGTTGTAGGCGTATAGCAAGTGAACAATAATACTACTTATATGCACATGAGTAGGCACTTGCTTCCAATTTACACAATTAATATCTATTTCCTGTGTGGAACTTTTTGTAATTGTAAATTGTGCATGAACAAGCCAATGGCATGCATGCAGATACAAAACGATATGTTGACCGTATTTATTACAATTATTGCGTGCGTCAATATCTACTCCAATTGTTAATTGACATGCTCGACATGCCAATTGGGGGATTAACGAACCAGTTGGCGTCGATAATTATAATTTTTTTTATTTTCGGAAATCAATAATTTATAATAACTCGAGTCGTTGAAGAAAGTTAATTATGAATTTTATATTACTCTTTATACGATTCTGAAGCAAAAGTCAACTCGCAGACTTGAAATTTTCACAGAACGATCTTATATTCTACTTAAATAAGCTTTAATATTGAGGTAGTGAAACACACGACCACTTGAACTAATTAGTAGGTGTGGGACTGGAGTGGTAGCTAATGGTGGCAAGTCAAATTCCAAAATTACAATTTGGCTTTGGAATTTTTTTCTTTTGACAAAAGATAATCATTAATTGATAGAAACCAATCGGTAGTTACATCCTGGAAGCCAGCCAGGTCTGGAAATCAAAATAATGACACGTAGTCGGGAACAAAGACAGGGCCTGTCTTACTACCAAATGAGCTACCCTATTGTCACCCCGACCTATAAATCGCACATTAAAGCCCGGATTTACCCTGAAAAAAATCTGAATCATCTCCTCCAAAATAGCCCCCATCCGACTGTCTCGCACATCAGCCCTGCAGATCTTATCAATGACCACCTTAGCATCGCCTTCAAACCGCATGACCAGAAACCCGTGCGCCAAACACCAACGAACTGCTTCCCGAAGAGTAAGTAGTTCCACCACCATTGGATCATCCAAGTTGGGAAACTGAACCCCACAGCCCAGAGCGGCGTCCCGGCCTCATTGAGAAGAACCATACCACTAGCAGAGTGCGACCCACGTCGAACAGCCCCATCCCAACGACACACAAGTCCCCCTGATCCGCTTACTTCCACAGTAGGAGGAGCAGGCAGATGAGGAGAGGGAGACTGAGGGTCCCGAGGCAGGCCGAGCCATTCCCCTACTTGTTGGTTATACTGCCTCAAGAGCGTCGGAATGCTGAACTATTTTCCTTCAAAGACCACCCAATTTCTGGATCTCCAAATTCACCACAGGACATCAATTACCGCCATGAACTGCGAAGGTTGATGCAAAACAGCCAGCAATTTCTTGAGGAAGAGGAGGAATGTATGACAGGGCAATCTCTCGCCAAGAGAATCAAACCCCGCCTGCGACCACAGAGCCCTAGCCACAGGGCAATCAAGGAACAAGTGTTCCATTGTCTCCCTTAAAGCCCAGCAGACAGGACATCGGGGTAGGACCTCCACCTTTTTTTCTATTAGGGCCTCAGACGTTGGTAAAATTCTGGTCAAGATTTGCTAGACAAACACCTTTAGCTTCGGAGGAATATTAGCTTCCCACACCCGGATCCAACTACGTTTGTCCATCCAACTAACCCGCGCCCGCCATCTCCCACTCTGCTGGTCCAGACGAACCGCCAAATGATAAGCCGATTTGACAGTAAAAATTCCATCCTCCGTGGCATGCCAGATCAATCGATCCTCAATATGCTGCCGTGGCAGGGCTATCGCCTTAATCGCCTGGCAAGTCGGAGGGTCAAACCACTAACTCAGCCTATCCTCACACCAACGCCCTTTCCCTGGACAGAGGACAGCAGAGACCGTCACCTCCCCATCTTCCGGCAGAACACGTGGGTTATACACATGAGAAGAAGGATGTTGAGTCGGGATCCAGTTTGATTTAAGCAAAGGGGCCTTTTGTCCATTCCCAATCTGCCACCGCAAACCCTTAGTCAATAACTGCCACCCAAAGAGAATGCTTTGCCATTTCCAGGATGGGCGGGACCGCGCCGTAGCCGAAAGAAAGGATCCATGCGGGAAATACTTCCCTCTATAGACCTGGGCTAAGAGGGACTGGGGTTCATTCAGAATTCGCCATCCTATCTTAGCCAACAACGCTTGATTAAACTGTTCGAACCGGCGAAAACCCATCCCACCCTCATGTTTACTTCTACACAAATTACGCCAGGAGACCCACCGAATCCTGGACCGACCATCCTCAACCCCCCACCAGAATCTGGCCACATGCTTGTCCAGGAGGCGGCAAAGCGATAACGGCAGGCGGAAGCAGGATATCACATGGAGCGGAAGAGCTAAGGCAACAGATTTAATCAGAGTTTCCTTTGCTGCCCAAGATAAAGTCCTGCGTTTCCACCCCTGCAAACGTTCTAAAAGCTTCTCCTTCAGGTAGCGGAAAGTGGCCGTCTTGGAGCGTGCAATCAAAGTGGGTAGACCAAGGTATTTATCCTGTACCCCTACAGCACCTACACCAAGGATTGCCGCCAAGAACTCTTGATCTGGCAACGAGACGTTCTTACTAAATGAGAAATTTACCCTCTGGCCACTAAGCTCCTCATACTCATTAAGAACTTCTATCAAATTCTCACACTCCTGGAGGGAACCCCGGAGAAATAAGTAAGAATCATCAGCAAAGAACAAATGAGAAATTCGGGGAGCCCGCGGAGCCACCTTCACTCCTTCCAGCCTCTTTTCTGAGATGACTTTACGAAGTAAGGCAGCAAAGCCCTCCGTGCAAAGCACAAAAAGAAGGGGAGAGAGGGGATCCCCCTGTCGGAGTCCCCTAGAGGGCGCAAAGAAACCAGACGGAGATCCATTCATAAGGACCGAAAAATTTGTTGACTTTAAGCATTCCAGCACCCATCCACGCCAGACCGAGTTAAAACCCATTTTTTCCAAAACTGCAAGAAGAAAGGACCATTCAACTCTATAACAGACCTTTTCCATATCAACCTTGAGATCCATGTATCCTTTTTTCCCCGAGTTTTGATCTTCAAATAGTGCATTAACTCATGGCCTATCAGAATATTATCCATTATCTGGCTTTCCCTGATAAAGGCATTCTGACCGTCCGAGACAATGAGAGGCAAAATCCCGGCCAGCCGTTCCGCCATGATCTTCGTAATCGCCTTATATATGAACTAGCATAAACTGATGGGTCGAAGTTGACGCATGGATTCCACCTGATCCACCTTTGGGATTAGCGTCAACCAGGTGTGGTTAAAACTTCGGAGCATCCTGCTAGTAGCAAAGAAAGAGCCAACCGCAGCCACAACCGACTCCCCCACAATCCCCCAGTAGGCTTTAAAGAATTTCCCCGTGAAGCCATTAGAATCTGGCGCCTGCTTTGAGCCCATTGCAAAGACCGTTTTGCGGATCTCATCCGGACTAACCTCAGCGGTCATGGTAGCATTCATTTCCGGAGTCACATTGGAAGCAATAGGAAGGTCAGCCACCCTCTCATTCATATCATGAATTTGAGATTCCGTGGTGAAGAGATGTTGATAGAAGTTGGTCGCAACGTCCGCCTTCCCTTTCTCC